GTCTCCCCATTTTTGCTGCCTTTGTATGTTTGTTTCTATTTATTAGGTAGAACTGCTATGTCTTCGGTCCTAATAGTGAGGCCTTATGCAGTAGGTGTACTGTGGGGGCTCCATGTCAGTCTTCTTGGTCACCTGAGCCAGGTGTTCCAGGTGTGTCCCTTGTGTGGGTTGTATGTGCCCTCCTATTGTAGTTGAGCCTTGGTTGCTATTGGTATATCAATGGGAGGGATTGACCCTCAGGCTGACTGGTTGTGAGTATTGGCCAATGAGTACAGTGGAGGCGCTGTGGTGAAGAGGCCACCCCTATGGAGCAGGATTCGCTTTAGCAGGGCTCTGGTGCCTGCCCAGTCTGCTCTTTGGGTGTGTCGTCCCCAGAGGTAGCCACGTGATGCTCCAGCTGGGTCTGACTGGCCACTGGGAGTGCTAGCCCCAGAGTCTCCTGGGAGGGGCCCCACAGCAGGCCAAGTTCAGCCGCAGCCTGTGCCCTGCCTGGGGCCACCTGGAATGAGCCACAAAGCAATCCTCAAATGTCTGTCACCTGCACTGGGCTTGGAGGTGCCTCAAGAGGCCAAGCCGCAAACTGAGGCAGGGTTTAGGGCTGCTCAGCCAGAGGTATGGGACATGCCAAAGCCAGATGCTGCTCATTTCGGTTTTGTGAACCTTAGAGAAATTTTAGGAAAGTCTGCAGTATGAGCTAAGATAAGCCATTTGTAAGGAAAATCCACTGAAAGTGGGTTGGGTGTGCCCAAAAGTTGGGTGGGGCAGGGTCTCAAGGAATCGGGGTGAAAAAAAACGGTGTTAGCAAGGTTGACGGAGAATCAGATATGGCGGCCGCCTGGGTCAGCACACCAGGAGCGGGGAGGGCTCAACAAAGAAACAATGCCTTCTTCCAGATCCTCCGAATGGGGAAAAGCTGCCTCTCCAGCCCTTGCCCTGCAGCCAGACAATCTAGTTCTTCCCCATTAGTCCTTAGCACCTTTGGAGCTGATGCCCCAGTGTGGGAGCTCAGAGAGAATGAGTCCGTCAGCACGTAAGTCTGTGTGTGGGCCCTTTAAGAGGAGTTCCTGTGAGTGCAGCCACCCACTGTCTCACTCAGCCACAATCTCCTCTGGTTTTCACATCCAGGAGTTATAGGGACTTCTCTCCTGGCACTTAGACCCTGGCCTAGGGAGCCTGGTGTGGAACTGGGACCCCTTGCTCCTCCAGGCAGAACCTCCACAGCCGAGTTATCCCTCCTGATTTTTAATGGTCACACATGGTGTGACACTGGCCCATTCCGCATCTCTGCCCCCCCCCATCAGTCTTGAGGTGGCTTCTTCTATATGTCCTTAGATGTAGGGCTTTGGTTCAGCTAGACTTCAGATGATTCTTAATGATGGTTTTTCTGAAGTTTAGTTGTAATTTTGATGTGGTTGTGAGAGGAGGTAAGCACAGCATTTCCTATTCTGCCATCTTGACTGGATCTCCAAGATGTGTAAGGGGGGCTGTAGTCAAGGCCATGTTAACTGTCATCTGTGCCCTCTGTAAAGGAGACAATCCAAACAATCAGACCTCCCAGGATTTCACTCTTAAATCCCATTCAGGAGACATCTGAACACATTTAAAATGAGGTGCTGCCTACAGAAATGGAAAGCAAGGTCTACCTGCAGAGGAAGACCATAGATTACATACCTGGGCCTCCTTCGTCTGGGTTTTGTGACTTTTAAAGCTTCCTTCATGATCATCCTCAACCGTGGAGCAAGCATTTAAGGCTGCAATTCGAATCTAGAAAAAGAGGTTTGAGGGAAGAGAAGAGCTGCTTTTAGATGAGGTGTCACTTATCTCCTCAACAACCCACAATGAATATAGCTCTGCTCCATAAACTGCCTTGAATAGCTATGGCCTTCTCAGAATATGGGGGATGAACAACAACTTTTGGTACTTTTTCCAAAAAAGTACCAAAAAACATGTCTGGGGTGACAATACCAATATGTTCAGGGAGCATGTCCTAGGTATTGTCCACTGCAAAAGGAACAGATGCTGGGGACATCCAGCAATGACCCAATACAGAAGACCAAGGTATTGGAATAACAGATTCCAAAAAAACGGGTTAACTTATGCCTTTGAAACAAACTGTGATGAGGCCCTGCAAAGCACTTCAACAGAAGATCAAGCATCCACACCCTCAAATGTTCCAACAGCCCTTCCAGGAAGAAGGGTGCCCCACAGTGAGAGCCTTCAGGGTCCACCCAGGAAAATGCCTCTCACCCACAGGAGTGAAGTAACAGAAGAACACTGATACCAGCAAAACAGGCAAATAATCTACTTACCATACTCAGAGAGCTTCAGCACTGCCGCTTAGCACCGCTTCCCATCACTGGCAGAGACTGCGCCAGTCCACAAGTCTCCTAGAGAGGACACAGGACAAACCAAGAGAGGGGACATGAAGAGCCAAAAATGTCACAATGCCAGGAGCCCACTGAGCACCAGTCCCCCAAACCACGGACCTCCCCAGCTCTAGGCACACAGGCTGGTGAGTGACTGCCTCAGGTGGCTGTGTGGTTTGTTATACAGGGAGCCCCTCAGTTCCTCAGCTTGATTATGTGCCCTTGCCAGGCAAGGCACCAAGTGCCAGAACACGGAAGAGTGAAACCAACTCCTGCTCCTAGGGCTTACTGCTTAGCAGAGGCAATGGAGCTATAAACAATTTTTTTTCTTCAAAAGTTGAACGAAATAAAGAAAAACAAGGCAACATCTAAGGGTGAAGAAGAAAAAAATTTTAATTGGGGGAGGGGAACAGTATTGGGGAATTGGGGAAGGGGAACAGCCAAGTTGCTGTCCTTCAATCTTAGTTGTGGAGGGCACAGCTAGCTCAGCTCCAAGTCCAGTTGCCATCTGGCTGCCCATCGGCAGCTCGTGGCCACTCAACTCAAGGTGCTGTGTTCAATCTTGGTTGCGGGTGGGTGCAGCCCCCCATCCCATGCAGAAGTCCAACTGGCAACCTTGTTGTTAAAAAGCACACACTCTAACCACTGAGCCATCCAGCTGCCTGTCAGCAGCTCAGTTCAAGGTGCGGTGTTCAATCTGCCCCCCATCCCATGCAGCAGTCAAACCGGCAGCCTTGTTGTTAGGAGCATGTGCTCTCACCAGCTGAGCCATGCTGCCACCTGGTGGCAACTAAGTGGTGGCTCAGCTCGGGCGCAGCTCACTGGCCCATGTGGGAATTGAACCAGTGACCCTGTTGCTCAGAGCTCATGCTCTTAACCAACTGAGCCACTCGGACAGCCCCAAGAAAAATTTTTTGAAGGGATCAAAGGTGAGGGAGCTGAGTAAGTCCTTGCATGACCCTCAAGGAAGGGACAGTGCTGCAAAGGAGGGCAGTGAAGCAGAGGCAGGGATAGGGAGGTGGGAGATGAATGAGAGCCAACATGGGGCCTGAGAGCAGGGATGGGCGTGGAGGATGGGAGGGTGACGTGCCAGGGAACTGGAACTTTATTTGGTAGACAAGGGAGCCATTGACAGTTTTCAGGAGAACAAAATTTTAGAAACATTAAAAAAAAAAATTAGAGGTAGGCAGACCAGTTTGAAGTCTGCAAAAAAAATGACAGGATTGTGAGGATGTGGAGAAATCAGAACCTCATACACTACTGGAGGGAATGTAAAATGGTGAAGCCGCTGTGAAAATTGGCCTGGCAGTTCCTCAAAATGTCAAAGACAGAAATTCCACTGCTAGGTATCTACCCAAGAGAAATAAAAACATGTCCATAGCAAATTTTTTCACCAGTGTTCGTAGCAACATTATTCATAGCAGCTTAAAGGTAGAAACAACCCAAATGGCCATCAACTGATGAATAGATACATAAAATGGAGTATGTCCAAACAGTGGGTTACTATTCAGTTGTAAAATACACTAAGTACTGACACATGCTACAACATAGATGAATCTTGAAAACCTTATGCTAAATGAAAGAAGCCAGTCATAAAGGCCACATATTGTCCGATTCCATTTATGTGAAATGTCCAGCATAGGCAGATCTATAGAATCAGAAAGTTGATAGTGGGCTGTGGGAGAGGGACTAATAGGGAGTGACTACTAATGAGTATGGAGTTTCTTTCTGGGGTGATGAAAATGTTCTCAAATTGACTGTGGAGATGGTTACACAACTCCATGAAAACAGTAAAAACCACTGAATTGTACATCTTACCTAGGTGAACTGTATGGCATGTAAATTATGTCTCAATAAAGCTATTATTAAACAGAGATGCTGGGAGTCTGCCTGGGCAGTGGCAGTGGGAATGGAGGGGGCACATTCCAGAAGGTACACTGATGGTACTGAGTACTGGAGAAGCTGGAGGGAGCAGCAGTGGTTCTGGCCTAAGGAGCTGGAATGGGAGGGGGTACCACCAAACAAGCTAGGGAGGGTGGGAGGAGGAGCCAGAAAAAGTCCCATCTGAGAGGCGGGCAGAAGGCCACGGAAGGACCCATCCGGCGGTGGGAAGGAGACTTAGTACACAGACTAAACACGTGCTCCACTTTTATAAAATAAAATGGCTACTACTATTGCCAGCAGTGCTTACAGCAATGACTTCTAGCACAGGCTTTCACAAGGGGCTCTGAATTCTCCAAGGGTTCTTAAAAGGAAGGAAGTACAGTCATTTTCACAGATCAGGAAGATGCAAACTTCTCCTAGGCTGATAGGTATTTTACCTCCTAGGTTCCACATTTGGAAAAAAAGAATTCTGCTGATTATGTTTGGAAACTGCTGCTTCACTATAAGCTATGCCATGATGGAGACAGTAACCACAACACAGTATGAAAAAATAATAAGAGAAAAGTAGAAACTATAGCATTAAAACCCTGAATCTAGCTATTATTAAAAGAGAGAGCTCATCACTAGATGAGCACAGAGGTAATGGAACAGAATGTACAGTGACCAAACACAACAAAGAATGTTGTGTTTGCAAAAAACAGTTTGGAAAAATGATAAATGGACAGCTGCAGGCCTCCAAAGAAAAAAATCAGCAATCCTTGAGGAGTAAGAGAATCTGATTTCCAGAGTTATTACATTATTATATTCAGAATGTACAGTTCTCAATAAAAAAACTACAAAGCATACAAAGAAACAGCAAAGTACGCCTCATTCACAGGATAAAAAGAATTTGACAGAAACCATCCCGGAGAAGCCCAGACATTGTAATTACTACTCAAAAATGTTAATTCAAAAACTGTTCTTCACATGCTTAATCAGCTAAAGGAAGCCATGGATAAAGTACTAATGAAAATCAGGAAAACAATGTAAGAATAAAATGAGAATATCAAAAAAGAGACAGAAATTGTAAAAAGGAATCAAAGGGAAATTCTGGAGCTGAAAAGTACAATAAGTGAAATGAAAAATTCACAGGGGGAGAGGAATGGTAGAAAAGGGTAAATGGGGTGAAATATATGATGATGGAAGGAAAACTGACTCTGGGTGGGGAACATACAGAATCATATACATGAAACCTATGAAATTTTACTAACCATTGTCACCCCAATACATTTTAATTAAAAAAATTATCAATCTGAGATCTTTTAATGTCTCAATATTTACACGTACACAGAAGTCCTTTACTTCTGAAAGTTAATGTTGTATTTATGCAAGCATTATGCAAAAAAAGGGGGGAGAGGCCGGCTGAGTGGCTCAGTTGGTTAAGAGCTCACTCAAGAGTTTGAGCTCTGAGCAACAGCGGTTCGAGTCCAGCCCGAGCTGAGCAGCCACTGAGCTGCCAACAGGTAGCAGGATGGCTCAACTAAAAAGAAAAAAAGCAAGACTACCAGAAGTAAAATATGTTGATATTAATTGACTATAGTTATAAAAACTGAGTCTTTGGGAATAAAAAAATACAAAACAAAAATAAATAAGAAATAAGAAAAATTCACTAGAAGGGCTCAACAACAGTTTTGAGCAGGCAGAAAAAAGGATGAGCAAACTTGAAGATAACACAATTAAAATTATATAGTCTAAGGAGGAGAAGGAAAAACAAATGAAGAAAAATGAACAGAGCCTGAGGAACATGGGAAACAATATCTAAAGGACCAATAAATGCATCATAGGGCCTCAGAAGATGAAAAGAAAGCAAAAGAGACAGAAAATTTATTTGAAGAATAGCTAAAATTTTCCCAAATCTAATGAAAGATATGAATATATGCATCCAAGAAGCTCAACAAGCTCCAAGCAGATCCACACTAAGAATTTTTATCAAATTACTCACAAAGACAAAGAGGGAATCCTGAAAGCAGCAAGAAAAAAGCAATTCTTAGAAGAAAACATAGGGGAAAATCTTTATGACCTTGGATTTGGCAGTAGTTTCTTAAGAATGACACAAAAAACACAGGCAACAAAAGAAAAAATAAATTGGACTTCATCAAAATTAAAAACTTTTATGCAAAGGACACTATCAAGAGAAGACAGTCCACAGAATAAAGGAAATATTTGTAAATCATGTATCTGATAAGAGGTTAATATCCAAAATATAATAAGAACTCCTACAACTGAACAATAAAAAGATAACCCAATTAAAAAATGGACAAAGGGGGGCCGGCCGAGTGGCTCAGTTGGTTAAGAATGCAATCGATTCCCACATGGGCCAGTGAGCTGCACCCCAGCTCAGATGCTGCTGAGCTGCCAACAGGCGGCAGGATGGCTCAGCTGGTGAGAGCACGTGCTCCTAACAACAAGGTTGCCGGTTTGACTCCCACATGGGATAGTGGGCTGCACCCCACCCCCCACAATTAAGATTAAACACAACACCTTGAGCTGAGCTGCCCTGAGCTGCTGACGAGCGGCTGGATGGCGACTGGACTTGGAGCTGATCTAGCTTGCGCCCTCCACAACTAAGACTGAAGGACAACAAGTTGACTATTCCCCTTCCCCAATTCCCCAACACTGTTCCCCTTCCCCAATTCCCCAACAAAATCTTTTTAAAAAAAAAAGAAAGAAAGGACAAAGGACTCCCAAAGACATTTCTCCAAAGAAGATATACAAACGCTAATAAGTACAGGACAAAATATTCAATATTATTAGCCATTAGGGACATGCAAATCAAAACCATGAGATAACACTTCACGCCTACTAGGATGGCTATAATAAATTTTTTTTAAAAAAAAGGAAAATAACAAGTGTTGGCAAGGAATTAGAGAAACTGGAACCCTTGTGCCCCTGGGTGGGAATGTAAAATGGTACAGCCACTGTGAAAAACAATTTGATAGGTCTCAAAAAGTTAAACATACACAGAGAATTGCCATATGATCCAGCAATCCTAGGTACATACCTAGAAAAACTGAAACAGGGACTCAGAGATATTTGTACACCCATGTTCATACCAGCATTATTCACAACAGTCAAAGGTGGAAGCAACCCAAATGTCC